ACTTTTCTGTTACTTTTCGCTTCGTGGCCAGCGTTTGATAAGGTCCTTTTATGTTGCCCAAAGCCCTATACCAGCCTCCCAAACTCTCAAATCTCATGTTTTGTTTTGTTTGTGTGTTTGTTTTAAAAATACTTTTTGACACTTTTTGACCCCAGACCATACAGAAAGTCCCCAAAATGCATGAAAGCATGCAAGAATATTCCCACTCCACTTCCACAAGTACCTCAAAGCCCCATACTACCTCCCAAACCTCCAGTTTCCTTTACAGTTCTTCTCAAAATGGCAACAGGAAGTAACATGATACCACTTCTTGATGCCATTTTGAGACTATAGCAAAAAGCAGGAGTATTTAGGCTTGCTGTAGATGGAGGTGTCATGGTCTGTGGAGGGGTCTGTGAGAGAAAATGAGCCTCTAAACCCACCCACCCCCCCACAGTTGCCTACCTTGGATCTACAGCAGTGCACAGGTCTACTGTGACTATGTTGGTAAGTGAAATGATCACTTTCCACAAGTTGTTCAAGACTGTAGGCTGCTTCTCAACACCTGAGAGAGCTCTTTCTGTTACCAGGCCCATGTTTGGTCCCACCATAGAGCAGAGTGAGGCAAATGCCTCAGGCAGTAGATGTGGAATGTCATGAAAGGATAGGGGATGGCCATTTCCCAGTGAGCATGGCCATAACATACATTAAAAGTGTGTTTTTACCTTCCCCATGTTAGATCAGGTCTTCTCGCTATCCCTCTTTACAGTTCTTATTCATTCTTAATGACAGCTTTCTTGTAAATTTTGGCTTAAGCAAGGGTGGGATTATATGGTCTTCCACTTGTGTTGAACTCCCAGCATCCCTCACCATTGACTAAAGCTGGCTAGGACTGCTGGAATTGCAGTCCAACAATATCTTGAGGGGCTGCACAGTTCCCTGGCATAAGGAGATGGGTTTTGGAGTAGCTAAAATGTGTAGCATAGTATAGTGGTTTGAGTGTTGGACTCTAGAGACCAGGGTTCGACTCCTCGCTCAACCATGAAACCCACTGGGTAACCTTGAACAATTCACATTTAATGACAATTCACATTGTCACAGCTTGAGGAGAAGGCAATGGCAAACTTCCTCTGAACCAATCTTGCTAAGAAAACTCCATGAGAGGTTCACCACAGGGTCGCCATAAGTCAGAAATGACTTGAAGACACACAGCAACAACAACAACAAACTGTCTCTGGCACAGGAGAGGGAAACCTCT